CACTGGAATTAATAAATTTATTTTATACTCACCAAAGGAAGGCGCTTATGACGACAAATAAGCTTACCAAATTTATTTAGATCGGCTAAAAGGTTTTTGAGTAATTGATAAAAAACCCATTTTTTTTTAAACTTTGGCACCCTGTATCTAGAAAATGAAGTAAGTTATGACATATGACTATATACATTTTTTTCTTATTTTTGGCTGGTACATACGTCCCTAAAATCTTTGCACCCAATTTTGAATCACCCTGTATATTTTCTTCTGCGAAATTATTTTTTTTCTTAATACACGAAGACAAGAACGCATTTTGGAGGTCATAAAATGACAGATTATAAAAGTCATCAAATAAATGTATCCTGACTTCTTCTGTAACACTTTAATTGCAGCGATATCTACAACTATGAATAAGATTTCTTATTTTCGACGTATTCCTTACCAGAATCATCGCGAAGCCTCTTTCTTTTTATCCTGCTATTTCATTTCTGTTCTTACTCTCTTCTTGGTCTTTATAATAATTTTTCTTGGGTCCCCATCTTGAAATATTCAATCGTCGTCCCCTCTATACTCTTCCTCATCTTCATAGTCAGGATCTTCATCGGTTTCATAGAGATCCACTGATCATAAAAATACGATTATATTCAAATAAAGATTTCTGTAGCTTATTTTAACTATTCTTTACCAATTAAAAGACTACTTTAAGTTTACAAATTTGTACTTAACTCAAAAAATTAAAAAAGTGCGTTTATACCCCTTCAATTCCAAACCTTGATTTTTCCGATTGACTCAATCATATAATTTATAGAAACTAGTAGAAAAGTTAATAATTTCCCTCAAAAGTTTCTTGAAATATGCCTAATAATGTCATTATTTACATTATTAAAACTGTGTGGTATTAAACATAGTAGAATATTGGTTAAATTCGCTAATTTTACAGATCGATTTTAGTAAAAACTAATTCATTCAATAATAACAGGTTACATGTTTCACATACTTTGTAGGATTTTTAATACAAAAACCGATGCACGTCATATATCATTTATGCAATCACGACCATGCAGTGTTATCTTATCGCCAGAATAATCGAAGAATGTAGGAAGTTTGGAAAATGTAAGGTTATATTTTTTCTGTGTATGACAAATAATTTAAAATGTGAAAAACTAATAGGAAATATTGAATTCCTTTGTACATAATAGGCATTTAAACAAACAAGCTCAAACAGTCGCAGAAAATAACTTTAGGTAGTAGGTAGGTACTACAAAGAATCAGTATATTGCAGAAAATATCTCAAACTAATTTAGTTCCACCAAGAAAATAATTTAATAGAACTATATTTAAATTAGAAACCAGAACACCCAATAAAATTAACGAGATAATTGAAAAAATTTATTCTACAAAGGCATGCGGGGAAACAAAATATTAATCGAGATGCTTAAAGAAAAGAATTCAAGAATGAAATTACTAAACTTTTTAAGTACAAGGATTAAATTATTAAAACATTTGAGTAATTTAGTTAATTCTCAGTAATGAATGTGTGTCTTAAATATAAAAGATAGCTAGAGTTATTCCAGTGTATAAACTTACGATCTGATTTTGCCCTAACATTTTTGGCAACTGATTTTTGCAATTGATTTTGTTATTGGACATACTCTGTATGGTTATCTACAATGTCTACAATATGATATTAAATATCTATCTCATACCCTGAATTATGGAAATTAACAAAAATATGTCCCAACATTTAAAAACGGCGATTCAACTGTTATCTCGAACTACAGGCCCATAGCAATAATTATGTAATTTTAGTAAGCTTTTTAAAATTATCCTGTATGACATTATCTATACTTCAGTGAAAACTTTAATAAGTGAACAACAGCACGGCTTTATGTCAAAAAAATCTACTGTTACTAATCTAGTTTGCTTTACCCATTATACTTATGAGATTCTTGACTTAGTAGGTCAGGTAGATGCAATTTACACGGATTTTCAAAAAGCATTTTATAAAATTGACCACTTTCTACTATTGTCGAAGTTAAGATCTGCGGGGCTATCATGGCCATTACTTTAGCTGGTGGGTTTAGGTCTCATCCATATGTAGCTACTTCAGATGTTCAACAAGGATCAAATTTAGGACCGTTATTATTTTTAATATTCATAAATGATCTATCTTCGAAATTAGTCTGCCCTCATGTTATGTTTGCCGACGACCTAAAACTTTACTGTAAAATTAGTGGCCCAGAAGATAGTTACATATTGCAGCAATCATTAAATACTGTTGGTGCTTGGAAAATTCGTTACAGCTCAACATTTCTAAATGTAAAATTATCTCATTTTCCCTTCTCAAAGAGCCCTATGAATTTTATTATTTGCTTAACAATGAGTTTCTACAACGCTGTTACTCATCTAAAGACCTTGGCATAAAATTCGGCAACAAATTCACATTTAGTAGCCATATTGGAGATATTACCGCTGCAGAATCGAAATTGCTAGGATAGAGTTTTTTTTAATGACATCCTCATCGAAGTAGGTTCCATAATACCAAATATTTTACCCTATAGAAAATAATATTTTTTAAGTGTTCGTTGTTTTTTGTTTTCTAGTCCAACATTATGTAGGTAGATACGTCATTATGTTAATTTTTGTTAATTTAAAAACAAATAATTCTCTAACAGCGCTCTTTTTAGATAAGGTATTTATTTTTAGATAACATAAACGAATACTAATATATAAATTATGTTAAGTAAAAAAAAAATTATGTATTCATCAGTAACTATATTCTGTCAGAATTAACAGATTTAACAAAAGTGTACAAAAGTAAATAATTAGGAACTCACTTAACTAAATTTTAATGTGTTAAAAAATATTCAATGTTAAAATAATATTTTCTCGTTGGCTGATTTTATTTTAACACGTAAAATATTTGGGGAATATGATGGCCATATGGCACGAAGATGAACTTCGAGGACGACACCGCACTCTGACAAACATACAATCCACTCGAATTGTATAGTGTATTTTTTCCACGAGCCACTAAGGAAAGCAAAAAAAAATTAAAATCATTTAGAGATCGTTAAAATAAGATATCTGTTTTAAACAATGAAATAATTCCAAAATCAAATGTAACCGAGGTGTAAAACACATCAAACAAATTTTAAAGCCATAGTCACAATATATGGGCGGCCGTTTCTCTTTTAACAACAACTACTCCTTTGGCTAATACCTCACCAGGTATTAAATTACGTCAAAAGAAAAAAGCAGAGATAGAAAATATTTTAAAACTTTGATCTATTTTAATAGTAATTAACTATTTTTGCAGCCATATGGGTATTATCTATTCTGCGCACAGAACGTAAAAATATACCATTGTGTTCTACTGAACTAATATAATTCCATATCCATTCTAGGTAGGACAGTGTTTGGACGTATGAAATCCACTAATCGCAGTTCATATTTGGTAAATGGGATTTTTTATTTTAAATTCTGCAAAACTTATTGTCAGTATATTTTTTAGTTATTAAGATTAAATATAATTATAAATATGTGATTCTTGTAAAGATTGGATTATAATAGCATTCTAAAAGATATTCGCCTTTATTTACAAATAAATCGTTAATTTTAATAAAACTACATATAATTAATCTAAATATCATTATTAAAAAAAAATGTTATTTTTCTTATTAACGCTGAGTTCCCGTGCCAATATTCGGGGTTTAAATTCAGGATGAAGAATAATAAAATTATTTAAAAACTTTTTTTCGTTTATTTTATAAATTAGTAGGTTCTAACTGATTTTAAAATAGTTATTTTATCTTAATAACCTAAAAATTTTGTTTTAAAATTTTGTATATTTTCGTTAGTGGGTCGTAGAAAAAATATACTGTCCACGGCGTCGTGTTTAAACTTCTTCTTTGTGCAATATGGACATCATATCCGATTTTGGATAGATATTGGACAATTAGAACTACAAGTACTGGGATATCTTCTTAGACCTAATCAAGGAAAATATTCTTATTAAGATAGTTCCATACTGACCTACTTTTACCAATATCTGCCATTAAAATACTATAATAATTGAGATCAAGTAAGCTTCTCTACAATAAAAGAATTTTTTTGTAAATCACACTATTCTTAATTTAAATTTATTGAATATTATTTTCTACTTTTTAATTTGCTTTTCTATTAAAGCGTGTGTTTTAGTTTTAAACTATTATTTATTTTTTACTTTTTAGTTATTTTGTAATACTATTCTACAAACTCTTAACCCTTTCAATCCTATCTTCTTAAGGAAGTGTAGGATTTGGAGTTGGTTCAAGTTAGGTAAATCTCCCTCTTCCATTTGATATACTCCTAGGTATAGTGCCCTTGGATTTTGGAGTGCTACGCAATCAGTTAGAATGTGTATGGAGGTTTCGTCCTCCTCCTCACAGAATCTGCACTCACTATCTTCTACTACTCTCAGTATAATAAGGTATCCTTTTAGTCGGCAATGCCCAGTAAGGATCCCAGTTACAATACGTAACTGGCAGATGCAGGCTTCCAACCTTTTCTAGTTATATTCACTTAGAAGTATCTTAGCCTGTCTCAGCCCTAAGAGATTGTTCCAACTATCGGTTCTTCTACTGCCCAATTCTTTGTTAATCTCTCCTAATATGTTACTGCTGATACCGCAGAACGGGTCAGCTTCGTGTTGTTACGGTTTTAAAATTTGCAAAATATTTTATATGAACCAATTTAAAAAACTAATAGTGTCGTTTTATTAAATTAATTTATAACTATCACGTATTGATTTTACTTTCCTAATGTAAATATTAGTTTTTTTAATATATTACTATTGAATATAATTAAATTATTTTTAACTTTTTAGTTTGATATGCTCTAAAAGCGTATTTTTTAGTTTTTTTAAACTATATTTATTAAAACCATCGATTCACTTTTCTGGTAGTTTTAAGATTATAATTCTTAGTAAAATATTCTAATATTATGATTTCCAAAACTTTTAGGATGTATCCCAAGTTTCATCACTGGTCTCATCATAGCCTGGCCCTCTCCATCAGTGGTAAAAATATTAGAAGACAAAGAAACGTACAATATAACTCCGCAGCAAGCATCATACTTCAGTGTATTAAACGCAATAGGACCAATGATGTTATCAATATTCGTATCGAGGCTTTGTGACTGTTTAGGAAGAAAACGAACCCTACTGATATCAGCAGTACCCCACGCAGTTTGTTGGGCTATGAAAGCATTTTGCACTGATTTGAATTTACTGTATGTTTCGCGAGCAATCGGCGGCTTTGGTGATTCCTTTATGTACAACTCCTTACCGATGTATATTGGAGAAATATCCACACCAAGAGTTAGAGGAGTTTGGGGCAATGGACTGATATGCAGCTTATTCCTTGGACTTTTCAGTATCAATTTGATTGGATCTTACTGTACAGTTCGACTAACCGCTTCAATATGCCTTATATTTCCTATATTATTTTTAATTACGTTCCCTTTCATGCCTGAATCGCCATATTTCTACGCAATGCATGAAAGAGATCAAGACATAATTAATTCACTGAAGACATTAAGAGGTACTGAAGATGTTATGGAAGAATTTAAAAGTTTAAAGTTGGATGTGCAAAGGCAAATGTCAGAACCTGGAACTTGGAAAGATCTTTTAACAATTGAAAGTAACAGAAGGGCTATATTAGCGGGAGTGTTTTTGAGAGTGTCTCAAAACTTCTGTGGTCTTCTGGCGTTTCCTGTATATGCCCAGTATATATTTGAGCATGCTGGTAATACCATTAATCCGAAAATATCAGCCATAGTGTATACGGGACTGTCTATTTTGTGCTACATAATTGCTGCTAATTTTTCCGATAGACTCGGAAGAAGAAATTCGTTTATAGTTTCAATGTGTTTAACATCCATCCCATTAGTTATGGAAGGTCTGTACTTTTTAGTAAAAGAACATTTTCCGATCATCAATGTGAGATACTTACAATTTTTTCCACTGTTGGGGATGATTATTTTTATAATTATAGCATCGATGGGTGTTGGGTTAGTGCCCACTTTAATGTTAGGTGAACTATTTTCAGCGAGTGTTAAAGTAAAGTGCTTAAGTATCGTTACGACATTCTTCTCTCTGTCTTACTTTATCGCTAATAATTTATTCTATTACGTCAGTCACTATGTGGGTTTGTTTGGACCATTTTTTATTTTTGCAATTTCAAATATAATTTCCGCTATTTTGGCTACGTACATAATACCCGAAACCAAGGGGAAAACTTTGGAAGAAATTCAACAACAACTAAAGAAGAAGAAAAATGCAAATGACGATAGTGAATGTTAGGTAATTGTATGAGATTTAAGTTGAGAGTAGCAACTTCGGGTATTTTTTAAAGTAAAATGTTTGTTGATAATTGGACATTGAACATTTACATTGTTTTAAATAGGGCAATTAATATGCAGGTTATGAAAGCCATGTAACATATAAGCCAAAAAATACTAGTAATTATGAATTTATAGAATTACTTTTTTAAGATGGAAGAAAATACTTGGGTTTCTTTGTACCACCAGAAACTGGTGTGATTGGTGAATATTGTAAGAACTTGAATATGAATATGAATATGATTGAAATGTGAAATATACAATTATGAGATAAAAACGTATTAAAGCCAAAAAGTAATCTTAAAAGAATAACTTTAGATAATAATTATTAAGTGTAATACACAAGGTGCGAGTGACATAAATCTCGTGACTGAAACTAGTTGATTGTCACTTGTCAAGCGAGAAAAATACGAAAGAAAACAAAATGAATACAAAACAGCAAAAAACATAACAAACACCAAAAAAATACAAAAAATATAATAACAGTTAAAACTGTTAAAGTTACGATATTTATTTCACTAGCACGCGGATGTTTCATTGTACCTCAGTATAGTCCCGTATCTGACCGCAAAAAGTGGAATATCGTGTTTTTTGCTTGCTTTTTGTAATTAATGACAGAAGAGGTTAAGAAGCAACATGTACAATGTTCCGTTGATGGGAGCTGTCGTCTAACCTGTCAAATTCAAAGTAAAGTTGCTTATACGCTTCTAGACGTCTATAACAATAAAAAAATCCATTTACAAGCATTTTATGTCGTCTGGTTTTGCTACTTTCGGTATAGGGATTTCGGCCACGTGACCGAATATTTAAGTTTTTTAACGAAATTCTGAATATATCTTAAACGCGTTTTTTCTGAATCTAAGATAGTGTTGCGCATTTTTTGTGTCGACGCGGCGAAAGGGTTGATATGCAAAAATAAATGCAATTTTGAAAAGAGTGACCTATTTTTTGAAATAGATGTAAAGTCAGTTACTCTTAAAATGTTTGTGTGACTTTCAAATAATAGTATTGCCCTTCCAAGCATTTTTTGTTCAGTAGTTTTATCCCTATTTTGACACTTTTTTTTGCAAGGACAACAAATACTCTTATTTGAGAGTCAAACAAACATTTTGAGAGCAATTAAACCACTTTTCAACTTTTGGCTCCAATTTTACACCTATATCGAAAAACAGGTCACTTTTCGTCAGGTTGCATTTTTTTGTCCATCAACCCTTTCGCCGATACAAAAAAAATTCTTGCATTATCATCTTAAATTGAGAAAAAACACGTTTAAGTTTTATGCCGAAAATCCCCACACCGAAAGAAATAAAACCGGGCGACAGAAAATGCTTGCAGAACAATTTTTTCATTCTAGGGGTATAATATTTCATTGCCAACAAAAATACCATCTATAAGCAACTTTACCTTGATTAAGATAGATTATTCGATAGCTCCCAACACCGACACATAGTTCATGTTGTTCACCCCTCCCTTTTATCCAACTACAAATAGCAAGCAAAGAAACACGACATGCCACCTGTTGCAGTAATATGAGGGACTATTAATATACCTATGTCACATTCAAGAATATATTTTTTTCTTAGTTTGATTTGTGGTAAAGTTTTTAATTTAGTTAGTAGTTTTGACGTCAAAAAATTTGTAAAAGAGATTTCACCTTTCAAATTCTCATGGAAAACTAGAAAATGTTTTTATGTCACCTAAAAACCTATTTTCTTTCGATAGAAAATGTTCTCTTCTTAATTAAGTATTAAACTGAAACTTATAAATACCACATAAAACATAATTAGATTATTATTGACAGGTCTTGAATTTTAGACACCTTGTACAATAATATACTACTTTCATTTACAAAATGGTCCAAATAATTACCATTAAAAAAATAACCTCTCTTAAAAAATTTACACTCAAAAAAGTACACATAATTTAAAAAATAAACAAATATTTTTTTAGTACAAGACAGGAAATGTTTTGGTTAATTAATTAATATTGGTTTTTTAATACAATTTCCTTTTACTTTATTTCACCCTGTATATTATTTCTTTTAGAACTAGACCTGTAAATTGACCATGATCATTGATGAATAAATAATATATTACAATACGAGTGTCGAAAGTGTCATTTTTCATCTGAGTCGGAAATATTGTCGCACGAGTGTGAAAAATCACTTTTACACAAGTAATGTACAATATTTTTCCTACGACCACAAAATAATTGTATCGAAAAAAGGTAAAACTAAGAGTTATTTGTAAAAAATAAATATCTGGGATCTAGGTATAAAAATCAATGTTAACAATTTAATCATCAAATCAATTTTACTATTAATATGGACATTAAATAGATTAAAATAGAAGTTATGTGCCTGACATATTTGACAGCTGATGCGGAAAGTAGATATTTACACACGGGTGGAAAGTATATTTTTAACTACACGCGTGTGTTATAAGACTTTTCAGATAATACTAAATTGTGCGATATGTAGCACTTTCATAAGTGGTCGTAGGAAAATGCAATTTACACGATCTAACGGTCTGTTCCAACAACGATCACATACCTGTCACTGACACCAGGATTCTGCGCAGTAGATAAGTTGGCGTTACGAATAATATATGTTGGAACAGACCTTAAAATACCAAAATCAAACTTTCTGTTTTTTACGTAGTGATTATTAGGTATTCTTGTCTTGTCAGATTTCACTTATGTAATAATATCTTCATTATTCTTCGTTATCTAGAAGAGAGATTTTAACCGTGCTGTTGAATCAGCAGTCAAGGTTAAACATGTTGGACTATAACTTTTTTGAATTGAATCTCTAATGTATATATTTATATTATTTTCAAAATAATGAAAATTCAGAACGAATAGTTTTCCGCAGTTTTATTGTTAAAATTAGCGATTGAAAAACATAGTTACAGTTTGACTTACATGTAAGGGTTTGATTAAAAATGTGTGTTATTTTTACTAGGCTTTTCTTAAAATGTTCATCTTTTTTTCGAACTTCTTTGGTAACAAAATTTAATTATTAGCTCTGTTTCATTATCTAAATAATATGTACGCAACCAAATTATAAATTATACTGACTGAAAGAGAAAAGGACACTTAGACTAGGCTTAGGTACTACCTTGTAACTTTTGAAATTATATTTAAATACATTTGTGGTCATCGCAAGAAATCCTTTTGAATCATTTATATTTATTGTAATATTACATTTTACATTTAGGCATTTTGTATTATATAATTTATATGTTGAATTATATTTTTATTTATATAAAGTTTTTTTTTAATGTACTATTAATTTTATTTAAATAATGTCATGTTTTAAAATTATTTAACAATTGTCGTCAGTAGCGAATCTACGATTTTGGGGGCCCTGCGCTTAATTATTTATAGAGCCTTCAGTTTTTTGTATGTTTCTTTCTTACTTATTTTTTTAATATCATCCCTACTAATATCTGCTTAGGGTTGGGAATAAATGGCAGAACACCAGATATCTGGCTTTATTGTAGAAGTAGAAGTGCTCAAACAGATCGATTTTGTTATTTAGATGTGCATTTTTGTTTTACTTGTTTGAAAAGCATACCAAATTTTATGATACATAAAAATAATTTCTAAAAAGATTTTTACAGAACAAATCGTTATATAACATTCCAAAATTAAAAAAATGTTTTCTAAAATATTATCTAACATAATACGAACTTTAGCTTCTCTTCACGAAAAAATGTGAACATTTAATTGGTAAGTATTATCAAAAAATGCTCTCAAAAAAACTTGGTTACTTTTTGATTATTAGAATTTTCGAGATAAAAATTTTGGGGTCCATACCTACCCGAAAAAAATTTCCTCTTTTGATTGGTACTATCAAGTAAATGGGTTGCCATTTGAAAAGACTAAAGTCTATTCAAATTTAATTTACGCCTGATGTAAACAGAAGCAGGTGGACGCTAAAATTGAGCAGGGCCGTATTTTACTTTTCCGTCTTGCTAAAATGTAAAATGAAAGAGTGTAATTGTGAAATTATTTTTTTATTACGATAAAAACATATTTTGTAAACCAAAACTATAAAATAAATGCCGTACATGGTCTCCCAGACTTTAGTGACATTTCTGGACGAAGATAGGTGAGCGACATAAACTGCGTTAACCTGCAATACAAATTAATAAATGTATTTGACTTTAAAAGAGATGTTTGCAATATATTTATTTCATTATATTATGTCTACTGTGATACAGAGCATTAAAACAATCATATTATAAAATTATATTATACAGGGTGTCCAAATAATTGCAAATTCTTTAATAGCTAATATATATCTACTAAGAGCATTAAAAAAAACTTTAAATATAAGAGGTATTTGGTATTTGATTTAAAATTGTGCATTTTAAAAAGAAACCTTTTGTATTTTTGACAACTTCTTTTCTTTATTGTTCTTGTTCTACTAGTATTTAGATTAGACACCTTGTACCTGTATTATAGCAATCTTCCTTACTTGACTTAGCACTATTCTGAATCGGATAAATTAGTTAGACTTGAAGGGCTATCTTCATTAATCAAAATTACAAGTAGTTCTACCTGAACCTCTATAATATTATCCAACTCCCACATTTTTACTTCAACTTTTTGGCGAACATGGTCGATACACTCTTTCCATTTTTCTGGAGAAATTAATAATATTACTTCTTCAAAAAGAATTTTAATGTCTCCAGATTTAAATGTTGAGTTTTTATCTGCTACGTATTGTTTAACGTCAACCTAGATTAATTCAATATTATGTTGTTTTGCTGCTTAACCATTTCATCTATTACATACCTATCATATTGTTTATGTTGCTTACCAATTTTTAGAAGTTGGATCTTAAGCATTTCTTAGTCGAATTCAATTTTTTTCCCTTATAGCCATTTTTAAAAATCACCTTTTTTAGACGTCGTTGTAGGTATTTTTTCCAACTTTCTCGAATAATAATGCAATTATCTTCTAATTTTGGTAGGGTGTTTGAAAACCACTCTTTGAACAATTATCCACACATTTCTTCATGGTAGTCACCGGATTTTTCAACTTAAATACATAAAGTGCATTAGAGACAAAGCCTTCTTCACTTCCAATATGGCATGTAATGAGCTGTTTTTACGCACATGCCTGATGGGTTTTTAAAACCAGTTA